CGATAATTAAGAAATCATCAATTCAACTAATCTCCCTTCTAATTCACAACAAAATCAAGAGAAAAATAACAAAATCGAGAAATTAAGAGAACTAAAAAAACCGAAAAAAATTATAAAAATCGAGGAAGAAATAGAAGGATTACCAGCACTGCAGGAAGTAGGAGGATCTTTCTGAAGATCCTTCAATTCCTTGAGGATTCGCTTCGACGCCATGAAAAAATCCTAGGAGCTTCGCAAAACCCTAGAATTGGAGAGATACCAAAATTCGTCGAACACAGAAGAGATAGTTAGCGTAAGAAAGGGTAGGAGAGAGAAAAAGGTGAGAAAAGGTGAAAGGGGTATTTAAATAAGAATACGTAGGAAATACGTAGTTATACCTGAGATCAAATTTCTGCCAAAGGAAAGTATACAACGAGGGTTTTGCGTATGACAATTTGACAAATGGTTAGTCGATTAGTTATTATTGGAAAAGGCAAAAAAGCTTTCTTCGAGGCTCATGGACCGGTCATTTCACCTTCTTGCTTTTGTGTTACCCGTGGTGAATGACAGCTCGTCTTGCGTGCATCGCGTGTATAATAACATTAATGATTCGTCTTGTGTATTTGAAATTAGTGTATAATGTTAAGTATTCACTATGTTCTACCGTATGATAATTAACACAATAAACTTAGCACACATGTTTATGTATGACTTTGATCATTAATACGAGTATGAAAGTGGAGTTGGTGAGAAAAAGAAATACGGAGTAATAAAATACGTAATATTGAAATCTTGTTAGGGTAGAAAGTGTTGCAATCACTAAGTGAATAAAAGCTGGTCTCGCAGTCAGGTCACGAGACAGTGATACTTGGCATTCTAGTTTTTCGTCAAGTGTCGTGTCACATATGCGTTGAATAGGATGCTTAATAATGGATAGATTTTTGTAGATAAAAATGTTGTATAGAGTTTTATTATCGATACACTACTAATATTTTATATATACAAAATTAGGGCCTGTTCATATTTACTTATTTTCAGTTCAGCTTCAATCAGTTCAGTTCAGTTCAGCTCTTAATTTCCCTCTCTCATAAAATATTCATTTCAGCTTAGTTCATTTCAGTTCAGTTCAGTTCAGCTCCAATCAGTTCATTTCAGTTCAGTTCAGTTCAGCTCCAATCAGTTCAGTTCAGTTCAATTCAGTTCAGTAAATATGAACAGGCCCTTAATCATAGCTTTTAATAAAAATCTGATAACTCGATTCTAATTCCGTAAAATAAAAATTCGTTTTATAAAGTTCTTTAAAGATCCATTTATAATGTATTTAAAATAACATACAGTTAGTAAAAATAAGTTTTAATTGGTAAAAAATTAAAAATACTTTTTTTTTGTGCGAAATTGGTAAAAATACTTTCAGTTTAATAAAAATAATTTAATTATGAAAATATTCTACATTATCAAAAGTGATTATATGACCGTATTTAATATTGAAACCAAAAGGTTTATCTTAAAAGTTAATAAACAAACTAGGAATCGCCCGGGGCACAAATCTAGTTATTAGTATAAAACAAATGTAAAAGAAAAGTGTTGCGATTATGAAACGGATGGAGTATAATAAAACAATGATAAAATTCTATTTTAAAAATAATATTGTTAATTTTCATGCATGTGATCTAAAAATATTTCACATGATACTAATTATTTATCATACACTAACAAAAAAAATAAATAAATAAATAAAATTGGGTTGATAATTATAAAATGGAGTGAGTACTCCATGAACATGGAGTATGTCGTATAACGGATTTATGTGAATAAAGAGATCTTTTCAAAAAGTTTTTGACAAGTGAAGTTTTTGACAAGTGTTCTCTATAACGTGTTACACACATAATTGGTAATGTCACATAATTAGATTTTGCCCTCAAATTACAATTGCTAATTCTTTTGAAATTTTGATAATTACTCCATTTGTACCAAAAGGATTGTTCCTTGTGTCAAAATTAAATGTCTAAAAAAATTGTTGTATGCCTTATTTGGTAAAATTTTCCACTTGCTCTTTCAACCTCTTTCATCATCAATAAATTGTATCCAACCATGTGCACAAATTGTGTTGATTCATTTAAAAAGAGTAAAATTTGGTTTCAGTCAATCTTTAAAGGACGAGGAAGTATTCATTAGCAGCAACCTCATTGTTCTTGACCGCTTTTATGCCATTAAAAGCAATTTTTGCCCACAAGATTTTTTTAAATAAATGATATCTTGAATGTACTAATCGAGACCACCCATCACAAATATATTTCACTTTCCTAGTTTGTGCTATAGAAGCCTGTATATGAGATTTTGGTGGCCTAGGGCGAATATTTAGATTGGGGCCCTAATTAACAAGTATTATAATATTTTATTTTTATATTATTATTATTATTATTATTATTAAGGTTTAAGGGTATGCAAAATGAAGATTAGCCTCCTCGAATCTAACTCAACCCCTCGAAATTACATATCAAATATGAAAACTAAAACACAATAAAAAGATTGAAAACGTACTAGTTATATATATGAAGATAAACCCCTTGTAGTATGAAGTTTCTAATTAATTGTGTCAATTGCCTCTCATTAATTTATCTTACTTAAAAGCTTATTAAAATGTAGATTGTCAAGCACAAACCTTACAAATTTCATATGGTTGAACACGATTTACCAATATTTAAAAAAAAATTAATTGAGAAATTAATATTCAAATTGAAAGACATAAAGAAGATTGAACACAAACCTTGCAATATTAAGCAAAGACACAACAATTTAATAAACAATTCAGAAAGTTTTATCAAATTCAAATTTTTGAACGGAACCATTCAAAAATCAAGATATTAAGTAGATTTTTGAAAGAGAAAAAAAAGAAACAAGTTTTTTTTTTTTTATGTTTTTTTTATTCCGTAACAAAGTTAGAGCTATAGGCTGTAATTGAAATTTTAGAAATATCAAAAAGGGAATTCATTTAGCAAATAACTACTCCATTAGAAGCAAAAATCAGGGGAATTGGAACCTTTAATTTGCTTTGGGAACTAACGAACTACACAAGATGACAAGACCTTAATTTGCTTTGGAAACTGACGAATTACACAAGAATTGTACGGAGCATTAAGTAGTTTCAGAAATTTTATTTTTCTTTTACCAGTAGTAATTTTGAGGCCATTTTTTTAACCAATTTATGGATTTCACAATATTGGGCCCTGGGCGGTTGTCCCACCTGCCCCGCCCCAAACACAGGCCTGGTGCTACATGTGGTAAAAGACAACTCGTCTTGCATGCATCAATTGCATAATAACAATGAATGTGCACCATATATATTTGAAGTACTTCAATTGAATTTAAGTAAACATGTGTTAGTGCTACAGAGTTTAAGTGAATCAATGAATCATTTAAGGAAGTTAATTTTCTATGTAACATGTCACACACTTAATTGACAGTGTTACCACAATCAGATATTTACATTAAATTATCATCATTGTTCCCATCAATTTTTTTTGGTAAACATTTTTTTGGGGGCACACGAAGGCCCAAGCTAAGGCTCAAAGGAAAAAACAAAGAAAATAAACTTCAGCAAAACTAAACATGGCAAAGTCACCCCTACTATCTCATCATGTAAAATACGTTCTAAGGTCAAAGGAGGGAATTGAAATCAACTCAGTTTTGTTGTTCTAAATAACGCCTTGATTTGCTAGCCAATCTACAACTCGATTTGGCTCCTGATAAATTTGGTGCACTTCTACATGCCACTTTGTATCCTCTAGCATACACCTTGGATGATATGGACACCGTGAGTAGCCTTTAAGTTATTAAGTGCCATAACCACTACCTGATTATGAAGTCGAACTTGTAACATAGATGCTCCAAGCCGATCTGCTCGTTCACTCCCAGTGGCGTATCCAAGAATTCCAAATTGTGGGTTCGGAATCTTAAAAAACAAACGATGCTCATATATTAATTAAATATTCAATACATAAGTTCAAAATTTTTATTGCAAATGGATGGATTAAACATTTACAAAATAAAAAAAATTAAAAAAAAACCTACAAAAGCATTTTTCGAGTTTTATACTTTGAAAGCGTGCTAATACATTACTACTTATATAAATCATAAATCTATAATTCTATTGCAAAAAATCAATGTTACACATAAAACAAAAATCTCAGGTCCCCAATGTGCCAGACTTACATATTTGATTATTTACTTCACAAAAAATTATTTTTAAAAAAAAAATCAAAACTTATAATTTTTTTTCAAAAAATCTGCCTTGAAAACCCCCCTCTAGATCCGCCCCTGCTCACTCCCATACTCAACCATGAATGTTGTGCAAGCGCCAAAATTAAGCGAGAAGGCATTTATAAGCTTACCAGTGTAGTCTAGAATCACCTCTCCCCCACTAGCACGCAGGTCCTGGCACACTAAAGCACCCTTTGCCACTCCATCAGTATTCAAAGCCAGCCAACCAAGAGGGAGGAGCTAACCATTGTATTCATTAGCACTGATCTCATTTACCTTAACCACTATTGTGTCAATGATTGTATTTATTCCTAAATAATACTTGTATAAACTTTTGATATCTTATCTTATTAAGTACGTAGTATACGAATTGAGATAGAATTTACACTTTACCGCACGAAAATATTTTTCCATGTAAGAATGAGATTTTATAATCAGAGTTTGGCAAGTTAAGAAATGTTAATGCATAAAAGTTTGCATAACATGCATAAAAATCTGATAACACAAACATTTTTGGTGTTCTAACTTCAAAAGAAGTAACCCCTCAAAAGAAGAAACCCCTCTGGAGGAAATCCCCAAATTTCAACAAAATTAAATATAAACGTGCAAATCATGCATTATTTGAATGTAGAAACAAAAAGCAGAGTAAAAATTGATGAAGGAAGAGTCGAGGGGGCAACACAGTGTAGTTGAAGCTTGACGAGAGGAACTAGGCAAGTGAGGAACAGTTACCAGCAACATTGCAGTAGGCCAGTAGTGTATTCCAGTAATGAAACCATCCAGTAATTTAATGACAAAAGAGGCATTTCAATACAGCTTGAAATTAGTATTACAACAACCATCACAAAACCATAATGGGCAAAAAAAAAAAAAAAAAAAAAAAATGTCTTGCAATATATATTGCTCTTTTACAACCCTACTATTTCCATGAGTTCCATCTGACTTTGGCCATATTTTAGGCCACAAATCGTAAAATAACAGTGATTCAGATTACTCGATGTAAGAAATTTGAATCAGAAAGAGGAATTAAAATACCATAGCTAAACAGCTAATGTGGTGGACTTGATGTGGCTGTAGTATTTTCAGGGTGAGCCTCGGCAAGAGACTGCCGCACATCCTCAATCATTTTTAAAAGGTCTGGCATTTTGGGTCTCTGTTCTGGGACCCTGGCCACGCATGTCAGAGCAACCTGCAACATCTCTACCATCTCTTCTTCAACATGAGCATATCTCAGGATCTCAAGGTCAAAGACTTCAGCAGTCCACTCCTCTCGGACTACTGAATGAACCCACCTGACCAAATGCACAAGTTCATCACCCCCAGTTGCATGGACTGGTGACTTTCCAGTAAGAAGCTCAAGTAAAAATACTCCAAAACTGTAGACATCCGATGCTTGGGTTGCCTTTCGGGTGTCTGTCACTTCAGGAGCTCTATAACCAGCAGCTCGAGAAATAGGTGGAGCTAATGGACTCATAACTGTTGCTAATCCGAAATCTGAAACACTACCATATTTCTGGGAGTTGAGAAAGATATTTGAAGACCTAATGTTGCCGTGCACAAATTTTCCTCCGTTGACTGAGTGGATGTGAGTAATTCCTCTTGCTGCTCCTATGGCTATTCTCAACCGTGTCTCCCAGTCCAAAGGGATCCTATCTTCTCCTCTTTGATCTATAAAAACATAGAATGTGAGGAAAAAACATGTATCATGATCACCAAAACTTAAATCTAGGAGCAGGATGTTTCGGCAAAACTAAAAAAAGGATTAGAGGCAAGTAAACATAAGCCACTGAAATTTTTAACATCAAAAGTTAGAACCGAGGCTATCAGCTGAAAAGTTGCATGAGTTTATAGATTCAATTTTCCTTGATCAGCCAACCCCACCCCTAGCTAAAAGGACTGATGGACTGACCCCCATTTCAGCTAAAGCTCAGTAGTTGTACGGTCCAGGTAATAAACTATACAGCTGCTAGTTCATACAACTCGAGTTCTCAAAATCTTTGAAACTCAAATTTTCAAAAAGATTCGACAACCTAATAAGAAAGTCGACAAACTTGATCAGTCGTTTAAAGTAAGTATTAATAACCCTTTGTAAGGCTATCGCTACATGTCTTTCTGTTTTTTCTGTGACACATTCTACAGATAATTCATGATGAGCAAACCACAAGTTGCATATTGCCAGAACAATCTGAAATAACATCTTTGAAACAGCCACTCCTTCAACAATCCCCCAAGGAAATGTAGAATTTTCGAAGCTTATTAGGACCCAAAAAAAAATGCATATGGAAATAATTTTTTGATTCATAAATCAAAAGTCACAATAAGAAGAAAAAAAGAGTTGCACAGGTGATAGACTTTCATATGGAAATATGAGATGAGATAGAAACATACTGTGTAACATTGCCGAGATACTACCCTGGCTGCAGTGATCATTCACCATTAGCTTTTCATCCCTTGAGTAGTAATACGCTCGAAGTGCAACCGCATTTTCATGTCTAATGCTCCCAATCAATTCCATTTGTTGCTCAAACTCCCGTTTCCCAGCGCTCACCTCTTTCAGCCTCTTGACAACCACAACATTTGCATCCTCCAAAATCGCCTTATAAGACATACCAAATGTCCCCTTCCCCAAAACTTCAGCAGAAGCCCTCAACAGATCCTCTAAATCAAAAGCATAATTACAACCCTCAAAGAACACGAGCCTGTTCTTTGAATCCTGACTACCCGAGATTGTTTTCTCAGGGGACATGCTTCCCTTAGGAAACTTTCCAGTAAAACCATCATCATCCTTTCTTCTCAAACAACAAGCAAAGAACAGAAACCCGAATGCTACAATCCCAAGAACACCACATCCTATAACAATTGCCAAGAACCAAGCCTGTCTCCACCAATTCCTTGGCTTCGGCCTTACACCAGGTACAGGCGACACATCTGACTGCTCAACCGAAGAATTCACAAAACCAACATCATTCCCAACAAATGCAGACCTCGGAAACCTTTGCAACGACTTCGGAACAATGCCAGTAAGATTATTATTCGACAAGTTCAGCACTTGCAAATTTGGCAACCCCAAATCAGGAACCTCACCAGAAATCGAATTGTTAGAAAGATCCAAAGCTGAAAGCAGGCTCAAACTCGAAATCGACTTAGGTATACTCCCATTAAACCGATTATTCGACAAATTAAGCACACTCAGATTCTCCCAGGCAGAAAAATCATCAGGCAAAGGACCACTTAAACTATTAAACTGAAGATACAACATAGATAAATTCTTCAATCTACCAAAATCACTAGGAAATCTACCACTAATACCATTCTCCCTTAAACTCAATATCTCCAATGCTGATAACCTACTAATAGTATCACCTGGAATCTCTCCATTAAACCCTACAGCCGGCAATCGGACCGCGATTACTCGAGTCAAATCAGCATTACAAGTAATACCAGTCCAATTACTACATATTAAAGTACTCTCACTCCAATTAAGAACATGTAAATGAGGAACTTTGTTCACAAAATCCAACAATGCTTCCTTATCATCATCAAGTAAACTAGCATTTACCCCATTATAATAACTAATCAACCCAGAAAACACCACTAAAAACACTACATAATAAACTGAAATTACCCTCATTTTTTTTTCCACCTGTTTTTTTGCTGGGTTTTTTCTGGGGTTGCTAAATTTTTGCTTGCTTCTTCACCTCAGATACCTAAACAACATTTAAACAATGTCCGCCGTTAAACATTGATTCTTTCAAAAAAACTTCGCGCTAATTTCTAAACACAAAAAACAAGCAAAATAGGGAAGAAAGAAAATTCAAAACCCAAAAAAAGCAACAAAAAAGCAGAAAAAGTTACAGGGTGTTTGAATTTGTTTCTTTTGGAGTAATTTTTTAACTAAAAGTATGAAAATTAACAACTTAGATTCTAAAAAAAAGTGCATAAATCGAGAAAATTTTGAAGAAGAAGAAATAAAGTGATAAATTAAAATAAAATGACAAACAAGTAAAAAAATTAAAGTAAAATAAAAGGGAATCGAATCTGAAGCTACTCTGTACTTTAGAGAAATACCATTTTAACATTACCTTGCTTTTTCTTCATCATCTTAGATCTGAGTAAGAAACGAGTAACTCGGATTGTAGCATAAAAATGGTGAAATGCAGACAAAATAAATATGAGGTGAAATGACAAGATTAATGATGAATTAATGTGATTAAATGGGGTAATTAAAGATGATTTTTTGACTTTTGGGTAGGAATTAATGATGATTAACAATGAAAGTAGAATGATTTTGTTTGAAGAATTTTTCCTTTAAAAGAGAGAAAATGAGTGAGTGAGTGGAGTGGAAGAAGTGAGAGTAACTGGAAAAAGGTGGTTAAAAGTTCAAAGGGAAGTCAAAATGTGACTTTTTTTTTATTTTTAAGTTCATTTTATTAAGGAAAATAAATATGGATATATGCAGGCAAGATCTACAAAAGGGTATGGCTGATAATTATATTGCAGATTTGGCATCATGTTGGTGGAATAAATGAGTAGAAGTGGCATTAATGGACATATGGTGATAATGGGCAATGATAAGGCAATTTCCTATTGTGGTTCAAATATAAGTAATCATGACTCATAACTCATGAGTGGTGTCCATGTAGGTAAAGTTAGGGCAAAGTTTAGGACTCGTCTTTTACGTTAAAGTCGGGTAAGATAGTTTTTTTTATTAACGAGAATTAAAATGAAGTTTGTAAACTATTAAGATCATTCTCGGTGCAAGGGAAGTGGCTAGGTGGGTTGCCCACTTGCCCAAATGGGAGGGTAACTACCCAAATTTGTTTTAAATAGGAGCATCTATGGTTTTGATGAGATACCTTCTCACTTGTTAATTACTGCTCGTTGCTTGACATGTGACTGTTGTTGGGGCGAATACAAAAATAGGTAAGAGGCAGAGAGAGTTTTGGACAAAAGATTACCACGCCTGGTGGTCAATTTAGCAACTAACCCAAGGGCTCCTAATCGGGACAGGTTGCCTTGCTGCATGTTGTCAATGTTGTAGCAATGTGAGGAAAAAAAAAAAAAAACTAGAGGAGTCATAAGGTGGTATTAGTGAAATGTAAGATACTTTTTTGACGTGCGTTTGTTGTATTCAGTTATTTTTTTTAAAAAAATCAATCATTAATAAATACAATTCTTGATTAAGCGAAGTATGTTAGTAAAATGATCTCTAATCCTGTAACATTTCATCCTTTTAGAACTTGATGCGTAAGTGGAAATAACGTCTGAACGAGAGGCTGTTTATTTTCGCTTACTCTTTCAGTTTTAAAAGAACGGGGTGTTACAAATCAGAAATCCTCTCTCACATAAGTTAAATAAAATAAATTAATTTAGATGGATGGATTAAATATTTAATAAGATGATAAAAACAAGTTTTTAATTTAGATAAAGTAAATTAACGATAAGATGAACATCAAAATCCTATCATGACAATCATGTACTCCGTAATGAAAATTCCATGTGAGAAGGAACTGTTAGTAGGTCCAAATTTTTGTTTGCCCAAGAAAGATGGTAACTAATGTTTGGATTTTATGGCAATGGTCCTTAAATAGGGCACTATCCTATGGATAGTTGTGTACCGTAGATCATACTGAGACGAATTAATAACCGTTAGATGGATTACAATCCAAATTGGGGCAAAAAAAATTACCAACCCCGGCAAGATTAAGACAGGTCATAAAGACATTGACTCATCAACAAACTACAAAGAATGTTTTAATAATAGTACTTGTATTACTATTATTGTTTTTAAGTTTAAACTTCAAAACAAAAATATGTATATGTAATGGGCCTACTAAGCACAAGCATTGTGGGATTTAATTCCAAATACTTAAGGACAAACGCACGTAGCCCAATTACATAAATCTTTTCAGGGCCCATTAGACCTGTTATTCATGGGCTGTGTGCAATGAGGAACCTCCCATGTGGCCCATTTACTTAGCCCGTTTTCTTCTTACTAACGGTATACTTTTTATTTTTCTATAATTTTTTTAAGGTATGATGAAAGACCCCTATTGAACTGACACTTCTCACAAGTTTAGCCAGCCCAATGCCGCAAGTCGACGCTTGAGTGTAGAGGAAGAGGTAAGGGAATTCCCCTTTTTACTAATAGTATTCTTACCTTTTTTTTATCATAAACCTTGTTTGGCAAATGACTGTTGGCTGTTGGCGGTTGACTGATTTATTTGACTTGTTTGACCAGCTGAAATGTTTGGCTATTTATAATGGTTTTTGAATTGGCTGTGTTACGCCGACGATTTATTAAAGTGTTTGGTAAATTTAATTGGTGGTTGTTGACTATTTATTAGATAATTTGTAGATAAACAAGCCAAAAGCCAACAAAAAAGCTACTCATAGCAGTTTTTTCATTTGGGCTTAAAAGCCAGCTAGACCCAGCTTTTTGGGTGAATGAAAAGCCAATTACTAAATACTTTTTTTTGGCTGTTTGACCATATAAAAAGTCAAAAGCCAAAACCTAACCAAAAAACCACTTACCAAACATGACCATAGACACATTTCAATATTTCATTCATACCTGGTATTATGAAGTATTACCTTTGTTCTTGAATAATAGTTATTGAGTATATTTTAATTAATATTTATCCTGTCTTTTAGGGATTTGAATCTTTGTGACTTGTGGTAATTCATATTTTGTACTCCCTCTATTCCATAATACATGATACAATCAAACATTGCACACATGTCAATGTAGTAGTTTGACTTTATTTTTATATAATTAAATGTTAGTGAAAATTATTTTAAAGATTAGACTTCCTCCATTTTTTTAGTTGACATCGTTTGACTTTTACACTATTCACACACTACACTCTGACTCGATTTTGTGATTTATAGATACGATAAAATATAATCATGTGGGATCTTGTTTCAATCGTCTATATGTATATTTTATAAATATCCACTTTTTTATAATTTTACAATGTTGATAATTGAAGTTATTAAGCGTTAAAAACATGCGTTGGCAAGCGTAATAATAGAAAGGTGTCAACTAAAAAAACAGAGGAAGTATTATGAAGCTTTATATTAAAACCTGTCTAAAACATATTTTATTATTTTATGATCAAATATATTTTTATTATGTTACTAATTAATTATGGTCAAACCTAATGCATGAATAGTTAAAAAAAATGGAGTACATACTTGTCTTTAAGGGATCGTGATTGAATATGACTCCTTCCATCCGCATTCAGCATCATCAAACTACATTCACATGTATACTCTCCTACTCAATAACTAAAGCTTAAGATACAAATGCCAAAATAAGTACAAATTAAACTTGCCAAAGTTTGAATGCTATTATAAAATATAGCATTTGTATTCTAGAGACAAGTTATTTCATATATTGTATCATGTAGTAATATATATAATACTTTCTTTGTCTCAAAATATAAACATTTCATATAATATACAAGGGGCATCAACAAATAGAGTATCATAGACAAGTACGTTGCATAATTTACATCAAATTGAAAGTGTTTTTGTGCAACACTTATCTATTATTGCTTTAGAACAAACATCAGTATAGTTACAAAGTGCTACACAATCCGTTTTTGTTGAAAAAGAGACCAAAACTGTGTGTGATGGAACCCTTGGGAGTAACAGGGTGCATGTTCATTATGCAACCGGTTTACTAGATAAGCTAACGGCATTTTCATTCATCTCCTTATGCTTTACAAATGTCCAGATTTGCTAGCCTCTTCAATTTGTGTCTTCATTCAATGGATTGATCAAGGAAGAAGGAAAGCAAATTATTTGATGTACTTAATTATTACCATACACTCAACCAATAACCAACCAATTGGTTGTGGGTGTAGTGGTGATTGAGACTATACTTAGTAGGAAGGACTCGTGTTTGATCCCCCACAACAACAACAGGGAAGGAATTGAAACCTAACCACCCATAACTGATCCCTGAATTCGGATTAATCCAAAGGGTGATCCGAGTGAAACACACACCCAAAAAAAAAAAAAAACCAATATTAACCATCTATGCATAATTTTTTTTTTTTTTTTTTTTTTTTTTTTTGATGCAAACCATCTATGCATATATATATAGTGCCTATTCTTTTTATATATTATTGTCAAAAAATAATGTACGTGTATATTTTTTCTTATATATATCCAAACTATCCAACATTAATGAGTATGCATATATTTCATAATAACTCATTGTAGCTGCATCCCCTAATTTACTATTGGTCTATTGCCAATTTTATTAATTTAGATAATTCTTCTTCTTCTTCTTTTTTTTTTTTTTTTTTTTTTTTTTTTTTTTTTTTGACAAGAATAATGTTTTTTACAATTTATGTGATTGCTTATATTTCATCTTTATATCAAAGATCAAGTTGGCAACACAATGAAAGCATATATTATGACATGAAATGGACACTTATAACAAAATTATGTTAAGTGTACGTATGTGATACACACATACTCATCATATATTGACATATATACTCTGTATGATTTAAGCAACACATGTACGTAAACCTTGGATTATATGCTTGTTATATGAGTTAGTCAAATAAATTAAAATGGAATACTAATCAGTCATATATCTAGTAATTATTTAATTAGCGTCCTCGCTCCATCTTTTGTATTCACAAAAATCTTATATATTACTTCAAAATCAGAAAAAAAAAACAAGGAAAAAAACCCTTATACAAGTATATATTTTAATAAGTTCATTGATTTAATAATTTTGGTGGCTCCAATAGCATCCATGCATTAAGAAACATTTGTACCGCCTTAGCATCATAATTAAGCTTGATCACAGGATGCCTGTCTCATTATTCTCTCCCCCTTAGCTCAACCTGCTTTACAAGGTGTGATCTTACCCTCTTATGATGGTAAGACATTCTTATATGAAAACTAGCATTTTGGCCCGTTCAATCTACGGGTTATAACTTATGTTATTTTATATAAATGTATGCTTTTCAATAGTTGAAACTACGAAGTTATTGTTACATGACTTTTGAGGTGAATGCTGTGAAAACTTATAAAAAAAAAGTGAGGGTGGAATTGTGGAAGAATATGAAAGAATTTAGTTAAGTATATATACATGAATATTGTAGAATATGAAATGACATACTTCATATTAGTTTAAGCTATATTTTAAGTTTAAGAGATAAAAAGACTATTTTTATTATACTTCAATTCATATGTTTATGTAATAGTTAATTCAACTTTATTCTATCATGGTAAAAATAAAACATTTCATTTTCTTACTTAAATGTGCAAGTTACGCAAAAAGAATTTAACGTTATATAAAATTTTTAATTTAATTTTTTTAATATTAAAAAGGTAAAGGGAGTAACATGTGGCATATGAGTGAAGTTGTGAGAACATGTGGCATATGAATAAGTTGTGAATTGTGATGACATGTGGCATATGAATGATTGTGGTTTGAGTTTTTAAATACTAAAGTATAGAGTATAAATAAATATAGAATAGATATAGATATAGATTTGTATCATTAATTTTTATATATGTTTAGAAAAATTCACTCGTATTTAATTTATGTCTTAAATACTCAATTTAAAGAAAATGGCTTTTTTGTGTGCAAATGATACGCACAAAGATATTGCAAGTAGCGGAGGCTGTTGAGAAGGATTCAAAGACCTATCATAAACATACAAGTCTTAAGTCTTTATCACTAGGCCAAAATTAGATATATCGATTAAAAAAACACACTGAATAAACAATCATTTTAAGTAGGGTGTAAATGAGTCGAGCCGAGACGAGTATTACCTTGTTCATGTTCAAGTTCATTTAACTTAGGCGAGTTCGAGCACGATCCCGAACTTTCAAGCGAGCTCAAATTTCTATTCAAGCTCGGCTCATTTAGTACACTACATGTTCACGAACGGTTCGTGAACAACTCGTTTATCTAACGAGTGTTTCATGAACGAACTTAATAATAATCTAGCTTCTCCAATAAATGAGCT